AGTCTGACATCACACACACACACACCTCAAAGATTGTACAGTGTGTTGAAACTTATATTAGTTTATATTTATATATATAAACTAATATAAGTTTCAACACACTGTACAATCTTTGAGGTGTGTGTGTGTTTGTGATGTCATTATATATATATATATATATATATATATATATATATATATATATATATATATATATATATATATATATATATATATATATATATATATATATATATATATATATATATATATATATATATATATATATATATATACACACGCGTGTCTCTCGCGAATGCTACGTGTGTGTCACACAGGAATGAGATGTGTGCCATACATATGTACAACACAAAGCACATGTGTGTGTCACTTAAAGACGGTTCTCTGACCTTGTCCGAGTACATAATCAAACAATGATTAATCCCAACAGACACGCTCTTGTAATTAGTCAGACACGACCTTGTAATTAATCAAAGCAACTTGGCTTTGGTGAGGATCGATTCAATAATGGTTTACAGTTTGTTTGTGTAAACAGCTTCGATTGAGTTTACAGCACGATAGTGGAGACTCAGGAGAATGAGTTTAACCAAACCACCATCTAGGAGGCCTAGTCAAACACCATATAGGCCTCCTGGACGTCGGTCCTGGGAACTATCAGTAGGTAAGGTCAGGGGTCAAAAGGCGTATAATTAGGGAAGGAGAAGGAAGAAAGGGTAAAGAGGTCAGGATAAGGAAGGTTAGACTTAAGGTCAATAAAGGTCACGATTGGCGTAAGATAATGGCATTGCGTAAGATAAGGCTAATATGAAGTAACAGAGAATGTTCCCAGACGAATAATCCAAAGGGGGAAAAAAAACATTTAAGGGTGAAACACCTTTTCTTAAGTCATAGTTTTTTTTTTTTACTCGTGCAAATGAAAGCGATTTATTTTCCAACTCCTACTCCTCTCCTTCTGGAATTCGTCTTGAGGTGCTAGGTGTGAGGTTGCTAGGTACGAGCGTGCTAGGCCATGAGGTTGCAATGTATAATGTCGCCCTATAAGATGTTGCAAAGTGAAAGGGCCTTGCAACATGCCGCGCCCGTTTGACTAGACGTAAAACTCTACTTGCTACCTTAAGCTACTTTTTTTTATACACATCAATGGACAAAGTAGAGTTTTTGTAATCAACGAGATCAGCACAGAATATATAGCGAGTCGTCAAGACGTGAGCCAAGACGCCTCTTAATGTCTTTGTTAAGCTGCTAAGACGTATTTACATTGTCCTGTCACTTGTGCCTATTTTGGCGGAGAAAACGTAAACAACGACAAAATAAAGAAAACAAGAAAAGTAATTCGTTTGAGTCACCGGGAATAAATACATAAATAAATAAATAAATAAATAAATAAATAAATAAACATATGAGGTCAGGGGACGCAAATGCGCATAACTTGAAGGTGTTAAACATCTTAAAGAATTTAATCATATATACTCGTGATTCTTAAAGCAATTTATGGCCTCTTGACAAACATTCTGACTCTTGCTTCATGGTCCTCCACTACGCTAAACATTCTGACACTTGCTTCATGGTCCTCCACTACGCTAAACATTCTGACACTTGCTTCATGGTCCTCCACTACGCTAAACATTCTGACTCTTGCTTCATGGTCCTCCACTACGCTAAACATTCTGACACTTGCTTCATGGTCCTCCACTACGCTAAACATTCTGACACTTGCTTCATGGTCCTCCACTACGCTAAACATTCTGACTCTTGCTTCATGGTCCTCCACTACGCTAAACATTCTGACACTTGCTTCATGGTCCTCCACTACGCTAAACATTCTGACACTTGCTTCATGGTCCTCCACTACGCTAAACATTCTGACTCTTGCTTCATGGTCCTCCACTACGCTAAACATTCTGACTCTTGCTTCATGGTCCTCCACTACGCTAAACATTCTGACACTTGCTTCATGGTCCTCCACTACGCTAAACATTCTGACACTTGCTTCATGGTCCTCCACTACGCTAAACATTCTGACTCTTGCTTCATGGTCCTCCACTACGCTAAACATTCTGACTCTTGCTTCAACATTCTCCACTTGTGTTTATGTCTAAGAAACTTAAACTCATAAAAAAATAATTATATTCTCTTTATGTCAATATCATCCTTTCATGCCTACTCTTAAATATTTGCAAAACCCTCCAAAACATCATTCGCATTATATATATTTATGTATATAAATATTTATAATGTGAAGCATTATAAAGTAAATTATATATATTTATGTATAATGTATTATATACAATATTTACAGTAAATAAATATTACATATACATTATATATATATATATATATATATATATATATATATATATATATATATATATATATATATATATATATATATATATATAAAAGAGGTGGTCGGAGAAGGCACCCATGGGTGCCGAATATTTTCTTCACGCTGTATAGGGGTCCATTATTCAATGATAGCCAACGTGAATAATTTTCTATCTTTTTTCCTAGGATTTCTTTTCTTAGGGGGATAAAGAGCAAATACGCTCCAATTTCCATAGGAAGCACTCCTCAACACCACACCTGACCTGGCCACCTAGTACTAGCAGTACACGTTCTAAGGACATCGGTCGGTCATGTGAGCATTTTTTTTTATCGGTTTTCTTCCACCGAGATCTTCCCAAGAAGTGTCTTCCATCCCCTGGAGCGTTGGCTGACGCGAGCGTCATTCTGACTTCGTTGTGTCTAAACACAGCTTATATCTCAAGTTTCAGTACAAGACTGATTCTGTGTTGCTCTAAACCCACAAGGGTCAACAGACTTCGACTCGGTATTTAGTGGACAATGATCCGTCACTCAATCTCCTGCACGGGTGGGTTTAGTGACGACCTCTCTACTGGCGAGGTCCGCGTTCAGTCCTCGATCGTCCGGATGAGTGGACACCGTTCCAGCCCCTCTTCCTCACAACTCAGCTCCTTGTCCTCTCATATCCCTTCCAGGTGCTATAGGCTCATACTGGCTGTATAGTGCTTTCTAGTCTTTCTCCTTATTGTATTACCTTCCGCACGTTCTTGCCCTAGTTGGCCAGTGCTCTTTGAAACACTGCATGAACCAGGTTTCTGCCTCCTGCAGCGGGGAAGCTTTTCTCTTCAGAAGTAAAACTGTTGTGTTTATACACAAGTACCCTGGGAACCCTGGCTCCACACTGGACCACAGGTCGGCGACGCCGCCAGAGGAGTGGGGAGTGTGTCAACACGTGGGGGGGGGGGAGTGTGTGTCAACACGTGGGGGGGGGGGAGTGTGTGTCAACACGTGGGGGGGGGGGAGAGTGTGTGTCAACACGTGGGGGGGGGGAGAGTGTGTGTCAACACGTGGGGGGGGGGAGAGTGTGTGTCAACACGTGGGGGGGGGGAGTGTGTGTGTCAACACGTGGGGGGGGGGAGTGTGTGTCAACACGTGGGGGGGGAGTGTGTGTGTCAACACGTGGGGGGGGGAGTGTGTGTCAACACGTGGGGGGGGGGGAGTGTGTGTCAACACGTGGGGGGGGGGGAGTGTGTGTCAACACGTGGGGGGGGGGGGAGTGTGTGTCAACACGTGGGGGGGGGAGTGTGTGTCAACACGTGGGGGGGGGGGAGTGTGTGTCAACACGTGGGGGGGGGGGAGTGTGTGTCAACACGTGGGGGGGGGGAGTGTGTGTCAACACGTGGGGGGGGGAGTGTGTGTCAACACGTGGGGGGGGGAGTGTGTGTCAACACGTGGGGGGGGGGAGTGTGTGTCAACACGTGGGGGGGGGGGGAGTGTGTGTCAACACGTGGGGGGGGGAGTGTGTGTCAACACGTGGGGGGGGGAGTGTGTGTCAACACGTGGGGGGGGGGTGAGTGTGTGTCAACACGTGGGGGGGGGGGAGTGTGTGTCAGTGTGTGTGTCAACACGTGGGGGGGGAGTGTGTGTCAACACGTGGGGGGGGAGTGTGTGTCAACACGTGGGGGGGGAGTGTGTGTCAACACGTGGGGGGGAGTGTGTGTCAACACGTGGGGGGGGGGGAGTGTGTGTCAACACGTGGGGGGGGGGGAGTGTGTGTCAACACGTGGGGGGGGGGAGTGTGTGTCAACACGTGGGGGGGAGTGTGTGTCAACACGTGGGGGGGAGAGTGTGTGTCAGTGTGTGTCAACACGTGGGGGGGAGAGTGTGTGTCAACACGTGGGGGGGAGTGTGTGTCAACACGTGGGGGGGAGAGTGTGTCAACACGTGGGGGGGAGAGTGTGTCAACACGTGGGGGGAGAGTGTGTGTCAACACGTGGGGGGAGTGTGTGGGGGGGGAGAGTGTGCCAACACGTGGGGGGAGAGTGTGCCAACACGTGGGGGGAGAGTGTGCCAACACGTGGGGGGAGGTGCCAACACGGGGGGGAGAGTGTGTGCCAACACGTGGGGGGAGAGTGTGCCAACACGTGGGGGGAGAGTGTGCCAACACGTGGGGGGAGAGTGTGACAACACGTGGGGGGAGAGTGTGTCAACACGTGGGGGGGGAGTGTGTCAACACGTGGGGGGAGAGTGTGTCAACACGTGGGGGAGAGTGTGTCAACACGTGGGGGGAGAGTGTGTCAACACGTGGGGGGAGAGTGTGTCAACACGTGGGGGGAGTGTGTGTCAACACGTGGGGGGAGTGTGTGTGTCAACACGTGGGGAGTGTGTGTCTCAACACGTGGGGAGTGTGTGTGTCAACACGTGGGGAGTGTGTGTGTCAACACGTGGGGAGTGTGTGTCAACACGTGGGGAGTGTGTGTGTCAACACGTGGGGAGTGTGTGTGTCAACACGTGGGGAGTGTGTGTGTCAACACGTGGGGAGTGTGTGTGTCAACACGTGGGGAGTGTGTGTGTCAACACGTGGGGAGTGTGTGTGTCAACACGTGGGGAGTGTGTGTCAACACGTGGGGAGTGTGTGTCAACACGTGGGGAGTGTGTGTCAACACGTGGGGAGTGTGTGTCAACACGTGGGGAGTGTGTGTGTCAACACGTTTAATGTAGTCAAATCTATCCAATGTGGAGTTCACCAGCTTCCAGTTCCACTGCCTCTTAGAGTTCCTGTCATTTTAACAGAGAAGCCAAGCATGACTGGGAACGTGTATTGTGAGCACCGTGAAGTACTATTGTCATGGTAGCTCAGGGAGATGGTACATGACTCTGGGACCATTAAGGTGGACGAAGGATGGGGGGGGGGCAATGGTTGAGGTTAATGAAACCTTCTTAATGGTATTCGGAGGGATATCTTGAGGGAACCTCACTGGTGGAGGGCTGGTGGAGGGATAATTGTATAGGTAAGCTTTACTAGACGGAGGGAAGACTCCATTATAAGCTTGTCTTGATGGAGGGACCCTCTTCCGTGGAGGGACTCCTCCTCCGTGGAGGGACTCCTCCTCCGTGGAGGGAGAAACTGGAGGGGCAACGCTTAAGGGGCCTCTCAGTCCTTCAGGGCAGCTGTATGCACTCCAATGGTCTAGGATGGTTAATGGTGACAAGCAGACAATTAGCCTGTGATTGTTCACGTGTTCTAAGTTCTTATCTTGGAGACGATGCTAGTTATGGTGACTGTAATGGCCAGTTTGATAGATGATTGTGATGTGGAGGTAGTGAAAATGTTGCGTGGTTATAATATCATTATGATTTACGAGAAATATTTGGCTAAAATAAAGTTACGATGGCCTGTTTACATGATGATGATGATGGTGAAGATGATGGTGAAAGTGATGGTTTGTAACCCTAATGATGATCACGACGGTAATTAGTGTTCGTCAAAATGACAGTGACTACTGGATGGTAACAAGAACGGTGATGACTCAGTCACGAGTGACAGTGAAGCCTCCTCTTTGAGCGGCTGCGGCTGCGGCTGCTGCTGCTGCTGCTGCTGCTGCTGCTTCTGCTGCTTCAATTGCCTGCGTTACCAGCATCAGTGGACCCCTAGTGTGGCACCCCTCAATAGGGGCCCCATTTACCCACATCTTCACCTAAACAACCTACCCTCACCAGCCTCTCACAACAGCTCCGTCTCTCTGAGGATATTCTCACAACCGCTGTTGTGGTTGTCAGGGCCAGGAGAATTGTTGTGGAGGGTGGTTGTGGTGGTGGTGGTGGTGGTCGGGGTGCTGGAGCCGGAGAGGCAGCTGCTGGGGGAAGCTGCCTCGCTGGACGAAGACTTGTTCGGGAAGAGCTGGTAGGGCTTGTCCTCGCCCCGCATCTCGCACACCACGTTGGTCAGCGCCATGATGTAGTTCTTGGCCAGGGTCAACGTCTCGATCTTGGAGAGCTTTCTCTCGCGCTTCACGTGTGGGATCACCTCCCTCAGGGCCTGGGGCAGGGAAGAATAGTTGTATGTTAGGTACATAGTGCGTCAGGATGACCTTCAGGAATGTCCACACACACACACACACGCGCACACACAAACACGCACACACAAACACGCACACACAAACACGCACACACAAACACGCACACACAAACACGCACACACAAACACGCACACACAAACACGCACACAATCTCCGATCTTCCAGAGGGTATAGACTCATTCCTCTCAATGTTTGCTGATGATGCAAAAATTATGAGAAGAATCGAGTCGGATGAAGATAGACAGAGACTATAGGATGACCTGGACAAACTGGAGGAATGGTCTAGAAAATGGCTGCTAAAGTTCAACTCAGGAAAGTGTAAGGTGATGAAATTAGGCGAAGGGAGCAGGAGGCTGAACACAAGGTATCATCTGGGAGGTGAAATCCTGCAAGAGTCAAATAGAGACAAAGATCTGGGGGTTGATATCACACCGAACCTGTCCCCAGAGGCCCACTTCAAAAGAATATCATCAGCGGCATATGCTAGACTGGCCAACATAAGAACTGCCTTTAGAAACTTGTGTAAGGAATCGTTCAGTCCTGTATACCACTTATATCAGACCAATCCTGGAATATGCAGCTCCAGCCTGGAGTCTATACCTAGTTAAACACAAGACGAAGTTAGAGAAGATTCAGAGGTATGCCACCAGACTCGTCCCGGAACTGAGAGGTATGAGCTACGAGGAAAGACTAAAGGAGCTGAACCTCACGTTCCTGGAAAACAGAAGAGAAACGGGAGACATGATAACCACCTACAAAATTCTCAGGAGAATTGACAGGGTGGACAAAGACAAACTCAACAAGGGGACACAGGTGGAAACTTAATACGCAAATGAGCCACAAAGACATTAGAAATAATTTTTTCAGTGTCAGTGTAGTTAATAAATGGAATGCACTAGGAAGTGATGTGGTGGAGGCTGACTCCATACACAGTTTCAAATATGGGTATGATACAGTCCAGTAGGCTCAGGAATCTGTACACCAGTTGATTGACGGTTGAGAGGCAGCACCAAAGAGACAAAGCTCAACCCTCGCAAGAACAACTAGATGAGTACAACTAGGTGAGTACAACTAGTAAGCACACACACACACACACACACACACACACACACACACACACACACACACACATTGTTAGAAGAGATTACCCTAGATGAAAGACTATCAGATATAGAGGTGACAGCAGAGGAGGTAATACAACTGTTGACAACACTAGATGCAACTAAAGCGGTTGGACCAGACAAAGTATCACCGTGGATACTAAAAGAGGCAGCGCAGGCCCTCAGCGAGCCTCTGGCAATGATCTTTAATGAGTCACTTATGTCGGGAGAATTGCCCACTTGCTGGAAGAAGGCAAATGTCGTACCGATTTTCAAGAAAGGTGATAGGGAGGAGACACTTAACTACAGACCCGTATCCCTGACAAACATCCCCTGCAAAATACTTGAAAGAATAATTAGGCTAAGACTTGTTGCACACCTGGAGAACATTGGGTTTGTAAACAAACATCAACATGGGTTCTGGACAGGGAAATCTTGCTTAACAAACCTTTTGGAATTCTATGATATAATAACAAGGATAAGGTAGGACAGAGGGTTGGGCAGACTGCGTATGTCTAGACTGCCAAAATGGCGTTTGATACAGTACCGCACATGAGATTGCTATTCAAACTTGAGAGGCAGGCAGGCAGGAGTAAGCGGAAAGGCATGAGTAAGGAACTACCTAACAGGAAGGAGCCAGAGAGTATGGTAAGGGGCGAGAAGTCTGATTGGCGAACAGTAACGAGTGCAGTACCTCAAAGATCGGCGTTGAGACGAATTTTATTTCTAATTTTCGTAAATGACATGTTTACAGGAGTGGAATCCTATATGTCAATGTTCGCGGATGACGCAAAATTAATGAGAAGAGTTGTGACAGATGAGGATTGTTAGATTCTTCAAGAGGACCTGGACAGGTTGCAAAAACGGTCAGAGAAATGGCTACTGGAGTTCAACACGACTAAATGTCAAGTTATGGAAATGGGATCAGGTGATAGGAGACCAAAGGGACAGTACACAATGAAGGGGAACTGTAACGAACTGCCTACCTGTAACGATTCGAGAGAGAGACCTGGGTGTGGACGTAACACTTAATCTAACTCCTGAGGCACATATAAATAGGATAACGACAGCAGCGTACTCTACACTGGCAAAAGTTAGAACATCATTCAGAAACCTAAGTGAGGAGGCTTTTAAGGAGCTTTACACTGCCTACGTGAGACCAGTCTTAGAGTATGCCGCGCCATCATGGAATCCCCACCTGAAGAAACACATACGGAACCTGGAAAAGGTTCAGAAGTTTGCAACGAGGCTTGTCCCAGAGTTACGAAGGATGGGATATGGAGGAACTGAACCTTACGACACTATTAAAAAGAAGGGAGAGGGGGGGGGGAATATGATAGGAACGTATAAAATACTCAGGGGAATTGACAAAGTGGAAAACAATTAAATGTTCACACGCAATAGTAACAGAACGAGGGGACATGGATGGAAGCTGGAAACTCAGATGAGTCAGAGATGTTAGGAAGTTTTCTTTTAGCGTGAGAGTAGTGGAAAAATGGAATGCACTTAAGGAACAGGTTGTGGAAGCAAATACTATTCATAAATTTAAAACTAGATATCATAGCGAAATGGGACAGGAATCACTGCTGCAAACAACCAAAGGCTAGAAAGGCGGGATCCAGGAGTCAATGCTCGATCCTGCAAGCCCAAACAGATGAGTACAAATAGGTGAGTACACACACAAAGGAACTAGGGCTGGAATCTGTGTGATATGCAACAAGTGGCGACGAACTGACAATTAGAGGTGGTCTTCCAGGAGCTGGGGTCATGGGTGATGGGTGGGTGTTCCAACAAGACCCAGTAGTGATGGTGTTCCAACAAGACCCAGTAGTGATGGGTGTTCCAACAAGACCCAGTAGTGATGGGTGTTCCAACAAGACCCAGTAGTGATGTTCCAACAAGACCCAGTAGTGACGTGTTCCAACAAGCCACCCAGTAGTGATGGTTCCAACAAGACCCAGTAGTGACGGTGTTCCAACAAGAGCCAGTAGTGACGGTGTTCCAACAAGACCCAGTAGTGATGGTGTTCCAACAACAAGAGCCAACAAGTAGATGGTGGGTGTGATGGTGTTCCAACAAGAGCCAGTAGTGATGGGTGTTCCAACAAGACCCAGTAGTGATGGGTATTCCAACAAGACCCAGTAGTGATGGTGTTCCAACAAGAGCCAGTAGTGGTGGGTGTTCCAACAAGAGCCAGTAGTGATGGTGTTCCAACAAGACCAACAAGAGCCAGTAATGATGGTGTTCCAACAAGAGCCAGTAGTGGTGGGTGTTCCAACAAGAGCCAGTAGTGATGGTGTTCCAACAAGACCCAGTAGTGATGGTGTTCCAACAAGACCCAGTAATGATGGTGTTCCAACAAGACCCAGTAATGATGGTGTTCCAACAAGACCCAGTAATGATGGTGTTCCAACAAGACCCAGTAGTGATGGTGTTCCAACAAGACCCAGTAATGATGGTGTTCCAACAAGACCCAGTAATGATGGTGTTCCAACAAGACCCAGTAATGATGGTGTTCCAACAAGACCCAGTAATGATGGTGTTCCAACAAGACCCAGTAATGATGGTGTTCCAACAAGACCCAGTAATGATGGTGTTCCAACAAGACCCAGTAATGATGGTGTTCCAACAAGACCCAGTAGTGATGGTGTTCCAACAAGACCCAGTAGTGATGGTGTTCCAACCTTCAGACTTCAGCCTTTCTAAGCTCGGAGATTTTAGGCAAATGAGACATTCATGATTGTTTTTCCTAAGTCAATTTTGCTTCTAAATTTATTCATATATTCCTGGCGGCCGCTGGAGCCGGCCGCGACACACACACTGACGAAACCAGTACATCTGTCTGCAAAACATGGCGGCTTAGTTAGCATTTTGTAACAGTTTATGCTCTCCGAAGCACTATACGAGGTTGTTTATAACAATAACAACCTCGGGTTGGGAAGTTTGCAAGATCGTAAACGGTTTAATAAATGTAAACAAAGCCGCCATGATTAAGATGGAGAGGTTTCGTAAAGGGTTGTGAATGAATCTTAATGAATGATTGACGAATCGTGGCCGTGGTCAGCATCACATCAGAGGTATACATGGGTGTAGGTGTTACTGTAGGTGCACATGTGTATGTAGACATGGGTGTAGATGAGGTTGTAGGTGCACACGTGTATGTAGACATGGGTGTAGATGAGGTTGTAGGTGCACATAAGTGTAGCTGGCGTCCGCGCCTACACATAACACAGTTCAATAAAGTATTGAACATAAAGTAGTAAAGGCTTGTATAAAGTAATGAAGGCACACGACAGTCTGAGGGAATGTACACTCAAGATACACCTTCACCAGCAGAACACTTAAGTAGGAGTGTTGAGGGTGAAGTATGTGTCCCCCTGAGTGTGAGGACGTTATACGGCCTCAAGTGTGAGCACTGAAGCCCAGATTCATAGTCTTGAGTATGAGTGTAAGATACTCCCTAGTGTGAGTGTAAGATACTCCCTAGTGTGAGTGTAAGATACTCCCTAGTGTGAGTGTAAGATACTCCCTAGTGTGAGTGTAAGATACTCCCTAGTGTGAGTGTAAGATACTCCCTAGTGTGAGTGTAAGACATATTCCCTAGTGTGAGTGTAAGACATATTCCCTAGTGTGAGTGTAAGATACTCCCTAGTGTGAGTGTAAGATACTCCCTAGTGTAAGATACTCCCTAGTGTGAGTGTAAGATACTCCCTAGTGTGAGTATAAGATACTCCCTAGTGTGAGTGTAAGATAATCCCTAGTGTAAGATATACTCCCTAGTGTGAGTGTAAGATACTCCCTAGTGTGAGTGTAAGATACTCCCTAGTGTGAGTGTAAGACATATTCCCTAGTGTGAGTGT